TTTTATTTTTCAAGGAAGTTCTGCAGCATGTACTATAGGCTGGCAAAGTATGCTTCAAAAAAATATATTTTTTGGCTTACAGCTTCAGAAGAGCCCACTGGTCAGTAAGCCAAATGTCCAGGAAAGAAACTCCATCACTTATTGCTCCCTTGATGATTTTTAGTTTTTTTTCCCCAAAATCTCTGCCTCTAGCAGTACTAAATTAACCCCCCTTTCCTGCCTCTTAAGACCATTTTAGGATGATTCTATACCTTTAGGTTGTTTGCAAAACACAATCTCATTCAATATAAAACTCCAGTCTGGGGCTTCCCTGGTGGGCCAGTGGTTAAGAATCTGCCTTGCAATTCAGGGAACACAGCTTCGATCCCTGATTAGGGAACTGAGATCTCACATGCCGCAGAGCAACTGAGCCCACACACCACAACTTCTGAGCCCACTGCCACATCTAGGGTCTGTGCACCGCAGTAAAAGATCCTGAATGATACAATGAGGATCCAAGTGCCGCATCTAAGACACAACACACCTAAAAAATAAACAAATAAAAATTTAAAAGTGAATAAAACTTCAGTATGGATCTCATATTTTCCTTTCCCCAGAGTGCAGATAGATCTTTAGCTTGAAAGGCTGACTGCATAGGGCAGGTCTGTGCTTTTACTTCTCTTCCTTTATCAGATTATATAAGAACTTCTCTGGCCCTGGAGAAGGAAATGGCAACCCACTCCAGTATTCTTGCCTGGAGAATCCCATGGACAGAGGAGCCTGGTGGGGCTACAGTCCATAGGGTCACAAAAGAGTCAGACTCGACTGATTGACTGAGCAGGCATATTTGTTCTTAGCAGAGAATATGATTGCATCCTCCAAAAATGACAGATCACAGGCTATGGCAGAAGCGAAGGGGTGAAAAGTGGGGGGTTTAGGGAAGAGCCGCCCGGTAGGTTCTGCTGGAAGGAGCTGTGAGACCTGAATGTGTTGCTCCAGAGTCCCCAGACACCTCAGTGCTTCCTTGTCTCTATCTCCTGGCTGCGGACCGCTAACCTGCCTTCCATCGCTTAGTGACCTGAGATCAGGGGTCTTTCTCTCATGTAGCTGCAATGAAGTGGATTGTGTGTGGACATGTTTTAGCCCAGCACAGAGGAAATGAGACTCAAACATGGTCTAGGCCCAAATACAGCTTTTTGGTTCTTGTTCCAAAAGCTGTTTGGTAGCAATTAGTACTTATTCCATGCTTGATATTGACTGTTGATCGTGACTATTCTTTGGAAACAGAGCATTTTTAAGAAATCTTAAGTAAGCCTTGTTTCACAGAGTGGCACCTTGCCCAAGCTAAGAACCACCGGTGATCCCTTGGGTGCTGTCTCTCTGATGTAATCCGCTATAAGAGCCATTTTACACTGAGGAGAAGTTTTTCAGAAAGATACGGCTATTTTCTGCACAGAGATCAGAGGGCAAGTACAGATATATCTAAGAAATGTCTCTGTACCCAAAGATGAATAAATAAGAAACAAAAAAAGAAAAGGGAAAAAGAGAAAGAAAAAAAAAAAGAACTTCTCTGGGCCCTTCTGAAGTCACTTCGCCTCACTGGGTATATGAACAACCCTCTGTTGATTGTCATTCTTCCTCTGACCCTGTTTTTAGAAGCACATGTGAACTCTTCAGATTCAGTTCCCTGGCGTGGTCACTATGGCTCAGCTCAGCCTTTTGATTGACGCCCCCCTCCCCCCAAATTCCACTTTCTGCCCATCATTTCCTATGTTTGCAGAGCCTCCAGTGACCCCCTGTTGGGAAGTTACTAGTTTAGGAAGAGAGAGAATGTGAACTGAGAAACAGAGTGAGAGAGAATGTGAACTGAGGAACAGTAGTAGAAAAAGTATTAGCAGAATTAACATTAAGAGCTATTGATTGTCTGCCGTATGCCAGCGCTGCATTGTATCCTCTCACCTTCCCACAGCAACCTGGCAAAGTAAGGGTCACTGTCCACATTTTTAAGATGAAACTCAAGAAGGCTGTGTATTTTGCTGCAGATTATGAAATTGAAAAACTCTCCCTTTTTTCCCTTTTCATCCCTGTCCAGATCCTTCCCAGGCTTACACTGCCACCTGAATATCCATCAGCCTTGTGCCATGAGAACTTGCTGCTATAATACACCACTTCCAAGATGACTGCATGCATGCACATTGCACCAAACAATCCACATATATTTTTTAAGTGTTTATACGCATTGTACCAATCAGTCTACATGTATTTTTGAAGTATTTATAGAGTGTTAGGGGTTGGGAAATGATGGTAAGTAAGGCAGCCATGGCCCTGCCATGATGATGCTCATAGTCTGTTTGGGAAGATGACATCAAAATATAATTAAACAAATAATTAATTGGCATTTGATATATGCAAAAATGGAAAACTTCAGTGTTCCATAAGAGCATCCTAATCTTAGAAGCCAGAAAAGACTTGTCTGAAAAAGTAGCATTTATGCTAAGACCCAAAGGTTGAATAAGCATTAGGCAGATGGAGGGGTAGGGATGGAGTTGGGACAGGGGAGTAGAAGGTTTCAAGGGAATAGCAAGTGCAGAGGCCTCCAGGAAAGATAAGGGTTGTTGGAGAAGCTGCTAGCTTGTGTCTCTCTTTTCTGTCTCATCAAAGTATACCTGGCAAGTATGCCCCACTCTCTCTTCCCTGATCCCAGGACTCTAAGTCTACAGGTATTTATTTGGTGAAACCTAAGCTGCCCAGCCATCCACAAGCCTCAGAATTCTTCTTTCCCAATTCCCCTGAAGCCAAAAGAAAAAAAAAAGAAAAAGAAAAAAACACCAATAAACTAATCTACACTGGTGTTAAAGATCTCCAACCCTTCATACACTCTGTTTTTGTTAGGGAAAACACACAGACTGAAACCACCCTCCCTGGCCAGACACTATAGTAATCATTTGCAGAGTTATTTTGGACAGAAGAGCCTATTATGGAACACGGAACTAATAAGCCACCATCAACCAGAACAGTACAGGAAAGATCAAAAGGAGATGCCACATGTCCTACCACCTCCCAGAATTCTCCTCACTGGAATTTATCTTGGCTGAACAATTTGTGCTCCACCATGAAGGACCCTGAGTCAGAATGATTGGCCAGAGACAACCAGGAAACTAATCTCATTGTCATAAAACCTGAGACTACGAACCACTTGGCAGAGCACTTCTCCTGGGCTTCCTTACCCTCCTGCTGCCCACCCAGGCAATGCTTCCCAATAAAGTCTCTTGCTCTGTCAGCAAGCTTGTCTTCTCTCCTCTTCAGAATATTAGACAAGGGCCCACTTTTGGGCCCTGGAAGGTGCCCTGTTCCTGCAACATTTTCAGGATCATTTATATTTGAACAAGAAGCTTCTGGGGGTAGCAGTGCTTACTTGATAAAGAGTGACTTCTCCATAAAGTGGGATTTCAGTCCTTTGAACAGGAATTTCGCTTGCTTTGGAGAGTTGGGGAATGAGGCAAGATTACTCATGCTCAATAAAGATCATATTATCTGAAGGTAAGCTTGTGATTATATCACACATGTTGACACCAGTAATGAGATGTCAAACTTCATAATTTAGCATTAACTAGAATATAATCATTCCTATTTATTAACACAATTAAACATTTACAGCATTTGCTTTCTATGAAAATCAAAACTTTGAAATCCCCCCTGGAAAGTGAGAATAAATAGTGATTTTATTCTGTAGCAACTGAGTATGTTGAATACCAAAGCAGCTTTTGTATTCTTTTCCTCATTGTTGAGCTGTGCTATAACCTAGGAGCACAGCAGTTATAACCTAGTAGTTAGCAGCAGTGTTAGTCACTCAGTCATGTCCAATTCTTTGTGACCCCATGGACTGTAGACTGCCAGGCTCCTCTGTCCATGGAATTCTCCAGGCAAGAATACTTGAGTGGGTTGCCATTTCCTTCTCCAGGAGGTCTTCCTGACCCAGGAATTGAACCTAGGTCTCCTGCATTGCAGGCAGATTCTTTACCATCTGAGCCACCAGGGAACAGCAGTCAGATCTTCCAGCCAAAACAATTGCTTTCTCAGCTGTGGTGCCCCGTTCCATGGGGCTGGTGAATTCAGATAGTTCTGATGCTTACAGTGATTTCCTTCTGGCCCTGAGGGAGAATGAAATGACAAGTTTGAAATACTTCAATGTCATGTCTAACCATAAATAGACAATGCAAAAGGCACGTTGCTAAGGATCAAAAAGTTAAAGGGAGGCTTGAGTACTCTAAGTAATCAATGAGGATTCTTCAAGATGAACTCATTAAATTAACATGGACTGCAAAAGCATTTGTCAATATTATACATGTTGTCTTAGACTGGATTAATAAAAGATTCATAAGTGCTCTAGGTCTATTGACTTTGCAAATTTGAGTCTTAAAATGATTGTCTTCTTTGCATGTGTAGTTTACTGGTAAATTTTTACAGATACTCTAGCTCCATTCCAGGCATCAATTAGCACTTCTTATTCATGCCAGTATATCCAGTCATTTCTGCTCTACCACAATTACCTGCCTTTCTTATAGTCTATGTATTTGTATGTTTATTCATATCTTGGCTTATTCCAAAATGATTCTGACACAGTTCAGTAGATTGGAGAGGCTCAATGCTAGACTTTATGATCATTTTTCGTTTCTCAGAGGCTATTTTAAAACTCTCAGTATTTTTATTGGAAAAATGTAAAGATTCCCTCTGGATATTAAAAATAATTTTTTAATATATGCATATGTATGGCTGAGTCCCTTTACTGTTCATCTGAAACTATCACAACATTGTTAATCAGCTACATACATGTGTGCTAAGTCATTTCAGTCGTGTCTGACTCTGCGACCTCATGGAGTGCCAGACTTCTCTGTTCGTGGGATTCTCCAGGCAAGAATACTGGAGTGGGTTGCCATGCCATCCTCCTGGAGATCTTCCCAACCCATGGATCAAACCCAGGTCTCCTGTGTCTCTTGCATTGGCAGGCAGGTTCTTTGCCACTAGCACCTCCTGGGAATCTCTAATAGGCTATAACCCAATACAAAATAAAAAGTGAAAAAAAAAAAGGATTATTAACCATAAAAAAATGTTTTAATTCTTTAGAAAGAGATGGCTTAATACATCTGATGCTGAGATGTGAGTCTGATTCAAAATGCAAAATTCTATAGTTGTTACCAAGGAAACCATTTCATTTATTGGCTATCTATTGGGGTACAATTTAGCTTCCTGAGAAATCTTTAATTGGAGATTCATTGTCCTAGGTCTGTTGAGGTTGTTAATGTGTATCCAGTGGTCATAACCCCTCTTGTGACAGCTAAGGCCAGGTGCATGCTACAGAAAGTAATTTTTTTTCAAGTGCAAATAACAAGTGTTGATACTTTCAGAACCTCCTGGGATTAGCAGATATTTTGTAGGTTTCATATAAATTGATTTGTTGGAAAAAAGCAAATAAGAGTACTGTTGCCTGGAGGGTCCTATGGATGGAGGAGCCTGGTAGGCTGCAGTCCATAGGGTCACTGGGAGTCTGACATGACTGAGCAACTTCACTTTCACTTTTCACTTTCATGCATTGGAGAAGGAAATGGCAGCCCACTCCAGTGTTCTTGCCTGGAGAAGCCCAGGTATGGGGAGCCTGGTGGGCTGCCGTCTATGGGGTCACACAGAGTCGGACATGACTGAAGCAACTTAGCAATGACTGAAAACTATATACAAGGCAAAGTTTTTGAACATCCAATGATGAATGTCAAATTTAATATTAAAGCAGAATAAGAGTATTCAAAATAAAAACAGTATTTTAAGAAAGCATTATTGAATTATATCTAGGTGTGTCTATTTATGATCATTATAGAGTATTTATTTTTAATAAGTCCCAGAATGGCAATGATGCTTAAATTTTTTCCCTGATTTCTTTCTCCCTGTTGTCCAAACCAGGTGAAATTTCAATTGATACCATTTATTCAGTTTTTTTTTCAAGGAAAATCTGTTGATTTTGCCAGAAGCCATTTAGGTTCGCATGGATATAGAACACAGTCTATGCTCACAAAAGTTTACCACAGGCCAGTAGTATAAATAGTGGAAAACTTAACCCTTATAGTACAGTGTATCCTAAATTCTTGTTGTTGTTGTTTAGTCGCTAAGTCGTGTCTGACTCTTTTGCAACCCCATGGACTAGTCCTCCAGGCTCCTCTGTCCATGGAATTTCCCAGGCAAGAATACTGGAGTGAGTATGTATCTCATAAATTCCATAACAAAGATGTGCATGGACATTATGAGAATATAAAGAAACAGCACAGAGGAAGACACTTAACCCATCCCAGTAGGAGGAAAATAGGGCTTAGAAAAGTCTCCTTGGAGGAGGCAGTGTCTTTGTTGAAAGTTGACTAAGAACTTAAGAACTACAGGCACAAAGAGAGAAAGGATAAGCTCCAAAGACTATTTTTCATCTAATATTACAATAGAACGGGCAAAGAGCATGGGAAGAAATGTCCCCCTAAATGAAGCTCTTGAAGTGAAGTGAAGTGATAGTCACTCAGTCATGTCTGACTTTTTGGGACCCCAAGGAATTCTCCGGGCCAGAATACTGGAGCAGGTAGCCTTTCCCTTCTCCAGGGGATCTTTGTCCCAACCCAGGTATCAAACCCAGGTCTTCTGCATTGCAGGCAGATTCTTTACTAACTGAGCTATCAGGGAAGCCCTTATGACAGTTAAAATGGAAAAATAAGGAAGAACTTATAGAGTGATTGGCTACTGTAATAAAATACCATAGACTGAGTGGCTTAAGCAACAGACATCTATTTAATCACACTTCTGAAGGCTGTGAAGTCCAGGATCAAGATGCCAGCGTGGTCAGGTTCTGGTGGGACCTCTTCTAAGTGTCCATTTTCTTGCTGTGTCCTCATACACAAGGAAGCAAGTTCTCTAATATGTCTTTTTATGAGGACACTGATCTCATAGTGGGGGGTCCATCATCAAGACCTCATCTAAACCTAATTACCTCCCAAAGTCCCTAGCTTTTAATACCATTACATGGTGTGTGTGGGGGGCGGGGGGGGGGTGGACAGGAGTTTAACATATGAATGTGGAAACACAAACATGGTAACACAGAGTTAAGACAGTTGAAAATCCATTCATCCATAAAACAGCAAGAATTTTGGCAAAAATTATCAAAATCAGCTTTTTAAAAACTCTTCATAATGAACAAAGCTATGGATGTGATGGAATTCCAGTTGAGCTATTTCAAATCCTGAAAGATGATGCTGTGAAAGTGCTGCACTCAATATGCCAACAAATTTGGAAAACTCATTGGTGGCCACAGAACTGGAAAAGGTCAGTTTTCATTCCAATCCCTAAGAAAGGCAATCCCAAAGAATGCTCAAACTATCACACAGTTGCACTCATCTTACATGCTAGTAAAGTAATGCACAAAATTCTCCAAGCCAGGCTTCAGCAATATGTGAACTGAGAACTCCCAGATGTTCAAGCTGGTTTTAGAAAAGGCAGAGGAACCAGAGATCAAATTGCCAATATCCTCTGGATCATCAAAAAAGCAAGAAAGTTCCAGAAAAACATCTATTTCTGCTTTATTGACTATGCCAAAGCGACCCCATGAATTGCAGCACACCAGGCCTCCCTGTCTATCACCAACTCCCAGAGTTCGCCCAAATTCATGTCCATTGAGTGGGTGATGCCATCCAACCATCTCATCCTCTGTCATCCCCTTCTCCTCCTGCCTTCAATCTTTCCCAGCATCAGGGTCTTTTCCAATGAGTTGGTTCTTCACATCAGGTGGCCAAGTCCTGGAGTTTCAGCTTCAGCATCAGTCCTTCCAATGAATATTCAGGACTGATTTCCTTTAGGATGGACTGGTTGGATCTCCTTGCAGGCCAAGGGACTCTCAAGAGTCTTCTCCAACACCACAGTTCAAAAGCATCAATTCTTCAGTGCTCAGCTTTCTTTACAGTCCAACTCTCACATCCATACATGACTACTGGGAAAATCATAGCTTTGACTAGATGGACCTTTGTTGGCAAAGTAATGATATGCTATCTAGGTTGGTTGTAGCTTTTCTTTCACGGAGCAAGCATCTCTTAATTTCATGGCTACAATCACCATCTGCAGTGATTTTGGAGCCCCCAAAAATGAAGTCTGTCACTGTTTCCACTGTTTCTCCATCTACTTGCCACGAAGTGATTAGACCAGATGCCATGATCTTAGTTTTCTGAATGTTGAGCTTTAAGCCAATTTTTTCACTCTCATCTTTTCACTTTCATCAAGAGGCTCTTTAGTTCTTCTTCACTTTCTGCCATAAGGGTAGTGTCATCTGCATATCTGAGGTTATTGATATTTCTCCTGGCAGTCTTGATTCCAGCTTATGTTACATTCAGCCTAGCGTTTCTCATGATGTACTCTGCATATAAGTTAAATAAGCAGGGTGACAATATACAGCCTTGACATACTCCTTTCCCTATTTGGAACCAGTCTGTTGTTCCATGGCCAGTTCTAACTGTTGCTTCCTGACCTGCATACAGATTTCTCAAGAGGCAAGTCAGGTGGTCTGGTATTCCCATTTCTTTCAGAATTTTCCCGTTTGTTGTGGTCCACACAGTCAAAGGCTTTGGCATAGTCAATAAAGAGGAAGTAGATAGTTTTCTGGAACTCTCTTGCTTTTTTGATGTTCCAGTGGATGTTGGTATTTTGATCTCTGGCTCCTCTGTCTTTTCTAAATCTAGCTTGCACATCTGGAAGTTATGGTTCACATACTGTGAATTTAGTCTCAACTTCACCCAAAACATAAAAATGAACCTAAGAGATACTGAAGACTTCAGTATGAAAAAATAAATCTTTATTAGAAGGAAATATGGTTGCAACATGGCAGGCTAGGTATTCTTAAATATGATACAAAATGTAAGCAATATGAGAAAACTGATAAATGTGTTGCAATTAAAATTTTAAAATTTGCCTGTCAAAAATAGTTATAAACAAGGAAAAAAAGTGAAGCTGCAGACCTGGGAGTAAATAGTTGCATTATATATCCAAAAAGTTATTATTACCCAGAGTATATAATGAGCTACAAGTCAATTTTTAAAAGAAAATATTTACTCCTTAATATTTTTCTTATTTCTTACCCAGAGTTTCTCTTAAGCATCTGAACTAGAGGAAATAATGTAATGCTTAGACTTTCAAATCCAATTCTGTAAAGGTCAGTTAATGTTAGTATCCAATGTTTAGAAACACTGCCATTTGCAGTTTATCCTATTGCTGAAAATATAGAAACTTTGAACTTTTTATTCTGATAAATGTAAGAAAAATGCTTAGGTCCTTCCTGTCAGAAGATTTATGTGGTGCCTAAATATATCTTACATGTGGTGTGATTAACCTAATTGTCTGTATTTTGGTACTGTTATCCTCCTGCCACTGGGTTTAATTACATTGCATTATGACTGGTAATTAAACAAAACAAAATATCATTATATCATTAGTGGTTTTATAAGACTTTGAAACCTTTTCCCTAAGAGCTCTTGTATTTATCACAGCTATCACCACAGTAATCAGTTCTCCCAGAATTGTTTCTGGTCACTGACTTGTCATGTATACATTTTCCAGTTGCTTGGAATTTGAGCTCAGAAACCACTGATGTGCATTGATTTAGGTGGATTAAAGGCCTTCTGTTCAACCAGCTAGATTACAACCATTTTGAAGCGGGTCTTACTCTTAAATGTGTTCTATTTTAAATGGGAATACTAAAAGTCCTACAGGAACAACCAGCAAGTTCATTCTGTCTGAGTTGCCTGTGGTTATGCAACAGAAAATAAAAACAACAAAAAAAGAAGCTACCGTTTACAATCTGCTGAGTTGGATCTTCCAATAAGTCTTGACACAGCCAGGAGAGTACATCTTGTAAATCTTTCTATGATGCTATAAACAGTACAGAAGGGTAGAAATATCCTGAGTGCAAGGCACTCTGGAACTGTAGCTGGGACCACAATCCAGTATGTATGCAAATGTGAAGAAAGTGCGCACCTTTCAGCAAAACCACCTCCTGGTTGAGGGCTAAGTGCTTCAGACTGCTCTTCTGAGGGTAAAAAATAGCATCTGGATACATAAACAATTTTTTGAAAGATTAACTCAGTCTTTCTGGCTTACCTATATAAGTCAGCATCTGTCATTTTTAAAAAAAAAAAGAGGGTAATTCACAGGAGCTTTACAGGAAAAATTTATCTCCTCAACTTTTCTTCTTTCTTATCCTCTCTCTTTCTTGCCTTATATTTACTTTTAAGCTTTTCAGCCACTCCAGCATATAAAATTTGCTACTGGCTGAAGTTGTGGTCATTTGGTATTTTCTATGACCTTGATTTATATCCTCAGCCTTAACAGCTTGAGGTTTAGGGCTATTTGTGCTCTTAAGTAAACAAACAAAAGAGAGTTAGTCTAGCTCAGGACTTTTAAGATTTGTAAATAGCTTACAGTTTCAAAGTAAACCAAGGTCTTTGAAATTTCAACCAGAGGTCATAATGCAAGTTTATTTAAATATGAGTAGCATCCCAGGTGGCACAAGCGGTAAAGAATCTGCCCGCCAGTGCAAGAGATGCAAGAGACACAGGTTTGATCCCTGGGTCTGAAAGATCCCCTGGAGAAAAAAATGGCAACCCACTTCAGTATTCTTGTCAAGGAAATTCCATCCAAGAGGAGCCTGGTGGGCTACAGTTTATGCGGTTGCAAAGAGTTGGGCAAGACTGAGCACACAAAAATGATCTAGTTTAAACCAACTTTGGACCTTTCATCGTGTCTCAGATGGTGAAGAATCTGTCTGCAATGCAGGAGACGCAAGAGATGTGGATTTGCTCCCTGGGTAAGGAAGATCTCCTGGAGAATGGTTAGCCACTCCAGTATTCTTGCTTGGAGAATTCCATGGACTGAGGAGCCTGGTGGGCTACCTAGAACTCAGAAAAATATATACAATATTTTTAAGCAAGTAATATTATATATTTTCATATAAAGATATAAAATATGTACAAAAAAATCTCTTTCAGAGCACCACAATTCTCATGATTAAAGAATGGCTGGAAAGAGTCCTGTTCTTACATGAAGAAAGTTTGGTTCTTGTCTGGGTCAGCCATTAATGACCTCTAAGGCCTTGGGTAAGAGTTGACTGCTGGATGACTCTTGGCCGTGACTGTCTGGGTGTTGTTGATTAATTGGCTGCAGCAGTCTCAACTGTGACTTCACAGTTTGTGAGTTTTCACTGTGTGACCAGAACCATGTGTTTGGTGACTAGTAATCTGGATCCATATTTTTACTGCTTCTCCAAGTGATTGAATTTAATTCTGTGCCAGTGTTCAGTGTCTAAAATCACACTGGTGATGGTGGGCCCTTGGTTGGCTTCTTTCTCAGGGCTGTGTACTTACCTCCCTGTGGTTAATTGAGGGTAGAAATCAAGGTAGCTGAACAGGAAGAGGCCCTGGGGACTCTGTTTTGTAAACTTTTGTACAAATACCTGAGTCTATGCAGAAGAATATATGCCTGGAAACAGTAATGCTCTGATTGAAATAAAAATGACATCATAATTATTACTATTCCAAGCAAAGGCAATGACAAAGTAGCATAAAAATTCACCTATTAATTACTTGGTATCAACCCACCTAACACCCAAATTATTAGTTGAACCTAATAAGACAAATATAATTTAATGGCAAAGATACTATATTCTGTTTTTCTGGCATATTCTTTGGTATCAACTAATTGTGGATTAAGAACACATTATATGAATTTCCTGAACCCGTTTATATCTTTTGTAAAATTGCTGGGGTTGTCTTACTTGTCCTCAAAAGTTAGCATTAAGCATTAATACATTTCTCATTCTGTGATATTCACCTCATCAGAGTCTTGGAAGCAGATAGCTTTTCATCTCTTTTGATTGACATAGAACCTCTATATAGGGTCACCCCATCTTTGCTTAGCCATGCTTTCACAATATACTACTGAGCTTATGGTCTTATATTTTGATTTCTTCTTGATTTCTAGAGGCCTTTATGAAATATTTTCAGCTGAATAATCTACAGTGATACAGTCTGGGTCAGCTTCCTTATTCCCTGTTCATATTCCCAGTTGCAGTCTTATGGAAGAGGTTAGAATGAATCATGAATAAGCTGGTGGCTTTATCTGCCACCTGGGAGCCATAACTTTAAAATACAGTTTTTGAGTTTTGAGCATGTAATGGCTGTTGCACACATTAAAACACAGTTTTGAGGACATACATTATTTACTGTAATGACTGATTTACACCTTTGTCCTCAAATTGTTCCAGAGAATTATTGCATATTTCTTTAACTCTATGTGATCAGATAAGTGAATAACTATGTTAGTGATGAGGTTAGAATATATGCAGATTCAGTGCTTCCCTAGGGCATCTTCAATTCAGCCTGTGAAATCCTTAAATGTGTTAGTATCCAGAGACAACAAAAAGCTTACTTAATTGCTAACTGCATTGTTATGAGGCAAGATCAGATGGTAGCATCACATAAAATCTTTGCATGATTAATACTGTAAGTCCAGATGATTGAGTATAGCAGTTGTATATAATAAGATTAATATATCTTAAGCTATCCATTATAGAGAGAGCTCATGGGGAAGACCATCATTTTAATTGCTAAAAGTAGAGGGAGGGAAAGGTCAGGTGATAATAGAGTACAACTGAATTTCATCCCTCTTGACAAA